TTACAGCATAAAGAAAGGGAAAAAGAAGACTGAACCGGAATAGAAGGTAGAGATAAAAGACAACAAAAGAAAAAGTATCTGGAAAAGAAGGACGAAAAGAAGAAAGAGAAGGAAATAAGAAAAAAACAAGAAAGAGAAGGAGAGTGAAACGAAAGAGGGGAATGAAAAAGAAACAGGAAAAGAAGAAAGAAAAATAAAGGAATACGAGGAAAAAAAGAAGGGGTAGAAAAAGAAGGAGGGTGAAAAGAAAAAGGGAAAAATAAGATGGAGGAGTATAAAAAAAAGGAATAAAAGAAGTGATGAAAAGGTAGAAGATATGAATGAAAAGAAAAAGAATGAAAATAGGGTGAGACAGGGAAAGAAAGAAAAGACGAAACAATAGAAAAAAAGGAAAAAAAACAGCGAGAAAAAATAAAAGGAGATACGGAAGGAACAAAAAGAGAGAAGAGAAAAGAAAAAAGAAAAGCAGAATGAAAAAGGACGAAAAATATAAAGAGTGGAACGGAATAAAGATGAATGAAAAGAAAGATAGAATGAAAAGAATAAAATGAATAAAAAGAGGAATGAGAAGGAACAGTTATGGAATAATAATAATAATAATAATAATAATAATAAATCCAGATTCTGTGATAAATATCCAGAAACGAATGATCCTCTCGTATCAGGTTGCACGGTATTGGCACCCACTGAATATAAAACCCGGCATGATAGACTGGGCCAATATCTGTACTGGAAAATCTGCAACTTCTAAGGGAAGGAAACTGAAAGAAATTGGTATGAACACCACCCAGACCCGGTCACGGAGATAGGACCTGTTACAATTCTATGGGACTACACAATACACACTGACAGAACAATCAAAGCCAACCGCTCAGATATTGTTATTAAAGACCACAAACAAAAACGGTGCCTCCTTATTGATATGGCAGTCCCTGCAGACTGCAATGTATCTTTGAAGATATTCAAAAAGCTATCAAAATACAAGGACCTTGAAATAGAAATCTCAAAAAAGTGGCACATGGGAACATCAACAATCCCTGTTGTAGTTGGAGCCCTAGGACTGGTTGGAAAAGATTCTAGTAGACTCATTGAAGGGATTCTTGGACGCCCATGCTTTAAAGAAATACAAAAAATTGTTCACGCGAGTACAGCCCACACCTTACGAAGGGCTTTATCTTTGTAAAGTGCGAGCTTTTTTCTAAATTGGTCAGTGAAAAATATCATGATGCCATTTCTAAACTTAGGTCTCTGGGCGGGACCCGGAAAGTGATGTGTACACGCCAGAAGTCAAAGGAAATAATAATAATAATAATAATAATAATAATAATTTATACCATTTTTGGCAATATAGCATCGAGTTTTCTAAGTAAGTGACATAAGCCGCCATCATACTCGTAGGGGTTGGTGATCTTGCTCTAGTAACCTTTGCAGCCATTAATCGCGGTACAGTCCAGAGAGTGAAAAATGGAAGGAAAACAGAAGATATGGCCGTGGGGAGAAGAAAGAGCGAATTTAGTTGTCGACGCTCCTTCTCTGGCCGGAATGAATATAAAACAGAAAGAAATCTGCCGCCAACCTATCCAGCCATTTTGGCAATTGGTCAGATCTGAGAATAAGCACTGGACACAGTCATTCACAGCCCATAGGATCGACTTTGTTAGGTAAGGGCTTTACATCCATCCATTCATTCATACAAATATATTTTTAAATGGACTTTTTATATTAATTTCACAATTTGAAACAGTACTAAAACGACTAAAGCAACATTTATATTAAATGCTTCCACTAACTGGATGAAAAACAGTATAGCATGATGAAAAAAGGCTCCAATCTTGATAAAAACAAAGTTTTATCATCAAAATGATTATGTTATTATTAAGAGGAAAGGCCAAAATATGTTTTGATTATTTCATTAAATTTTTTCATCCTTTCTACCACGTCCTAAATTTTGGCTAAAAATCTTTTTGTGTGTGTGTGTATTAGCGAGTGGGCCAAAGATTACTATTTGACTTTTAGCGCCTTTTTTCCAGTAAAAAAAAACATTTTGCAAATTTGGAAATTCTTGCAAAAATCAAATAAATGTCGGATTTTAATGAAACATTCAGAACTTATTCATAAATGAATGAAATTATTTTTGATATTTTTGTTTTTAGAAAATCTTGATAAAAATATATTTTTGTATATCTGTTACCCCCACTTACTTAATTTTATGAAGTTTCGAGAAATTAACATTTCAACTTCTTCCTATTTATATTCGTTAAAAGTAGGATTGCTTGGAGATTTTAGTAATCATTTTGCTTTTGTCCAGCATAAACACCATTTACGGAAAATCTTCTGTGAATCGTAAAATAAAAAATGCAATAAAACTATGACATTATTTAATTAGAAAAGCTTTTAATTGCTTTTATAAATAAGATATATTAAGGAAACTAATGTCTTAAAAAAAAATTTTCGATGAATAATAAATTTTTACAAGAATTGTTTTCACTTATTGAAATTTTAATTAGAACAAATCATTAAGTTTTAAAACTTTTAAAATTCTATTAATTCCACCCTTTCAGATATTATTATTATTAAGTGACAAATATATTCTCAAATCATAAATGGAAAAGCATAGTAACAGTTAGCGAACATCAAGATTTTTAAAATAATTTTGATTTTTCTTTTATGTACATAAACGTTTTCATTTTTGAAAGTATGGGCGACGATACACAGCATTATCAGAAAATAAAAGCGAATACTATAGTAAATTTAAAGTTTAGATTCCTAAAATTACATTAAGCAGAATATTTTCCAACATTTTAAAGATTACTGAGCACTTAAAAATTATATAAAATAGGCGCTCATCTCTCATTTTCTTAAATTATGTTTCAATAGATAAAGTCTCCGTAGAACAACAATAAACCCGTCATCACTCGTCATCACTTGTCATCGCCCGTCAAATATGGCTACTGTTACTTAAGAACACAACAATTTTTTAGTTTGATAATGCATTTCTGTATTATGTTAAAGTTAAATTAGATTATATTTTTTTCAAAGCAGATTACCTTTATATTCTTCAAATAATTACCTAATATTCTTCAAATAAAGTTTCAGAAATATATATTTTATTTTTGGAAGATATTTTAATACGGAGAATTACGTTAAATAGGGCGCAAATCAGCTATTTTAAGAAAAAAATAAAAATAAAATCGATTCCAGCCAATATAATTTCTGTTTGAAATATACCAGATTATTTTGCTTACTGGAAACATTACATTTAATCCTTTAGCTTTCAATTAAAGCTAAAATAAAAGTTTCAAGAAAGCATTTTTATTTTCAAAAATTCATTTTAAACCCTAGGTATTGCGAATTAGTGGAGTTCCCTATTTTGTAGGAATGAGAAATAATGTCGATTTGAAAAAAAATATTTTGAAACTTGCCTTGTTTATGATGAAAGTTAAAAAAATAATGCAAACAAATATAGACTTGGAAAGAGATGTGCATTTCTTAAACTGGTAACTGAGCCTTGCCTTACAAAAGTTTCTCTTGGCCGAATTACAAGAATTTAGGTAATAATGACGTAATGAAGAAATGGCACCGGTAAAAATGGCACGCGTAAAAATGGCACAAGTGGAAAAATGGGGAAAAAATGGAACAAAGCAAAAATATAACTTTTTGTTGCTTTTCTCTTCATGATGTTGATGCATTTCATGGATGCAATAGCTGCATAATCAAGAGCGTGGTTGTGGTTTTTAGTTGGTACACGATCAGTCATATCAAAGCTGGTGTTCATGATACCTTTAAAAATGATGTTCTCTTAACACATCTCCATCTGATAGTAGTTGATCTTGCAATCTGTTTTGCATACATGTACCCTTGGAAGCAAATTTCTCTTTTCCTTTATTACTTGCTATGACTTCCATGATGGGATTTTGATAGAACCAATGATATCAATGGTGTACTGAACCTATTTCTAATCCAGGATTCAGCGCAATACTTTCTAGTTTTATGCTCTGTTCAATAATTGAACCAGAATTCCCGCAATTGAACCATTGACAACAAAACAAGGAGTCAACTGGCATTTGATTAGAGCGTTACTGGCTCAATATTTATATATATATATTTTCTTTTATTGCTTGCTATAACTTCCATGATGGGATTGTGATAGAGCCACTGATATCAATGGTGTACTTGACGGCTCCAGAACAAATGCACCTATTTCTAAACCAGGATTCAGCGATATGATTTCTAGTTTTGTGATCTGTTCAATAATTGAACCAGGATTTCCGCAATTGAACCATTGACAACAAAACAAGGAGTCAACTGGTATCTAATTAGAGCGTTACTGGCTCGATATTTATATATGTATTTTCCTTTATTGTTTGCTACAACTTCCACGATGGGATTGTGTTTGAGCCACTGATATCAATGGTGTGCTTAACAGCTTCAGAACAACTGAATCTATTTCTAATCCAGGATTCAGCGCAATGCTTTCTAGTTTTGTGATCTGTTCAATAATTGAACCAGAATTCCTTCAATTGAACCACTGACAACAAAACCAATGACAACTGAACCAGGATTCAACTCGCGTCTGATTTGAGATTTATATATATATATATTTCAGAATTTACTCAATAGATAACGTGTGCATTTCATTTTTTTTCCTTTATGTTTTCGCCTTGTGTCATTTTTTCCTATTTTCCCACTTGTGCCATTTTTACCTGTGCTATTTTTACCCGTGCCATTTTTAACTGTGTCATTATTACGGACACATCACGTTGAAACACCCTTTTCCGTACGATCACCGTAGTTAAGCAACGTCGGTCCTGGTCAGAACCACCTAGATAAGAATTTATTAAACAGTTCCATCAAAACATTTAATTTTTTGAAATATCTTTTCACCCCAAGCAAGGCGATAAAGCCGCAAAGATCCAATGGTTTACTGTGCGTGAAATAATCTGAGAGAAAAAAAAAACATTATTAAGGAGAGAGGACAATAAAACAACATCAATTAAGGAGACTTCAAATAACGATTGATATTGCATTTACATTTTTGAAGATTAAATTTGACTAGAAAGCAAGAAGCCAGAAGAGAGTTCCAAAAGCGAGAAGTGCGTGAAAAAAACTGTTAACGTTTGGTTACATATAATAATTTCAAGTATAAAATGATGAGACCTAACTGCTAATCTAGTACTGCACTTAAAATCGTAAAATTAAAAACCATTTACTCTAATGATTACGGCTTATGTCCATATAGCTTTGCAACACCATGTCCCGTACCACCAGAGAAGTTATTATTTCCAAAAATAAGATAAAATTGCGTACAAAATAATTAAATTTTGCACTAGATGATCCATAGAGGTTGATATACCGCTAAACAAAAGTAAGCACCCAGCAACCTTGGCGATAATCATATTTGTGAATAAGGACTTTTCTAGGCAGATTGATAATAACTACAATGCTTAAAATAATAGAGATAGCATATCAAACCCGTCGTCTGTGCCATATCGGCTCTATATTTAGAGATTCTTCACAAAACGATAGGGGTGGGGTGGGGGGGTCTATAATATAATCGATCTTGACCTTGATCTTGACCAGGCATCTTCTCCCCAGTCACTTTCTAACCGACGTGACGAGGCTTTTCTATAAATATTTTCATGGTAACTGCTCGGACAAGCTTTTTTTTTTCCTGGTGTCCCGACTACATGAATTTAATCGTTCTACTTGTTTGGCAATTAGGTCTCACCGCTTTACTGTTTAACTACTCTAGATGCAACCGGTGTTTCTACTCTAACAGTTCGCTTTTGCGTACTTCCCATCTGTGCAACTCCCTTCCGATTTCTTGCTTCCCTGGTAACTATAATCTTCAATAATTTAAATGCAGCGTCAATCGCCATCTTCTGTTTACTTGAAGCCTGTCCCCCCTTTTTTACCATTTCTTCAATCCTCTCCATTTTCAATCTTATGTTTCACTTTTACACTCTGTAACTCGTTGCGTTCTAGCAGCTCTGTTGCCTTCCTTGGTGTGAAATGAAAAAAGTTTTAACAAATTTATAAACAATGTTATTATTATTATTATTATTATTATTATTTACATTCAAAATAACTTCTTACTTTGATTTTCTCGAATTATAGTGATAGTTGAGTTAAAGAGAGATAGTTAATAGTTGAGTTAAAGGGAGATAACTGAGACATTCGGAAGAGGCATGGCACGTGGAACTAGAATAATCGATTCCGGTGGGCAAAATTAAGGATTTGGTTCGAAATTCCGATCACCTGAAGAAGGCCGGAGTGTACATCAGCCGAAAGGTCGTGAATATGACAATAAAGATGAGGACAACAGTCCGAGCAATGCAAATAATGCCAATAACCACAGCGACAGAGGAAAATAATAATAGCGATAGAATTAATAATAGTGACAGAGGAAAATATCTCCTCGCCATTCAGTTTTGATCGAAGAGCAAAGTCTTTTAAAGTTGGTAATCAGAAAATTCCATTTAAGAATAAAATTTATTTTCAATAGTGTCCCTAACCTGTTGTACATCTCTTACCGATGAATGATGGCGAGTGGGTACCTATCGGCAAAAGTAAATTTTTAACAAAATCATGTCGGTCAAATTTATCTACCAAATAAAATATAAATTCTAAACAGAATTGCTAAACCAAATAACTGACATATCTACGGTGTTTGTAAGTAAAGAAAGCAAATCAAATTATATGCGATGCCGTCTTACCAGAAAACCGACCAACCACAAAATGATATTAAATACTGAGAATCCATATCACATTTGTGGAAGATTTTGCAAGTTAGTTACTGTCTAGAAAAGACATGTAGTCACTGACAAACAATTTTCACAGTTCATCTCTCACAATGATATCGTTCAATGGTCACACTCAAGAACGAAATAGCAACTATCATGTATGTACGCGCAGCAAGAAATTGTTAGCATCAATAACCTATCCTATTTACATACACACTTCCTCCAACCACTTAATCAGCATACATAAGCATTCTAGAGGTCTTGTGGATAAATAACATACCCTATCTACATACACACTTCCTCCAGCCACTCAACCAGCATACCTAAGCATTCTAGAGGTATTGTGCATAAATAACATACCCTATTTACATACACACTTCCTCCAACCACTCAACCAGCATAGATAAGCATTCTAGAGGTCTTGTGCATAAATAACATAACATATTTACATACACACTTCCTCCAACTACTCAGCCAGCATACATAAGCATTCTAGCGGTCATGAGCATAAAAAATTACCCTATTTACATACACACTTCCTCCAACCACTCAACCAGCATACATAAACATTTTAGCGATCATGAGCATAAATAACATAACATACTTGCATACACACTTTCTCCAACCACTCAACCAGCATACATAAGCATTCTAGTGGTCAGGAGCATAAATAACATACCCTATTTACATACTCACAGTTAAGTCCAACAATTCAACTAGCATAAATAAGCATTGTAGAAATCATTACCATAAATAACATATAAATATTTGCATACACACTTCCTCCAACCACCTAACCCGCATAAATAAGGATTCTAGAAATCATGACCATAAATAACTTACCCTATTAACATATATACATCATCGAACAAAACACAACCAGAGTAGATAAGCATTCTAAAAGTAATGAGTATAAATAACCTATTCTATATACTTTCTCCATCCACTAAACCAGCATAAATATGCATTCTAGAGATCACTACCATAAATAACTGATTCTATTCACATACACACATCCTCCAACTACTCAACCAGCATAAATAAGCATTGTAAAAATAATTACCATAAATAACATATAAATATTAACATACACATTTCCTCCAACCACGTAAGGATTCTAAAAGTCATTACCATAAATACATTATCCTATTTAACATACACACTTCCTCCTGCCACTCAAGCAGCATAAATAACGAATCTAGAAATCATGACGTTACAAAAATATACCATTTACATACACATTTTCTACAACCACTCAATAAGTATTAATAAGAATTCTAATGACATGAGCATCCTACACACTTTCTCCATCCACTCAACCAGAATAAATATACATTCTAGAGGTAGCGAGCATAAATAATCTATCCTACGCATTTCCTCCAACGACACAACCAGCATAAATAAATATTCATTATCATAAATAACTTATCCTGTTTACATATATACTTCCTCCAACGACTTAATCAGCATAAATAATTATGCTAAAGGATATGAGCATAAATAACCTATCCTACACTCTACCCCCATTCACTCAACAAGCATAAATAAGCATTGTAGAAATCACGACTATAAATAACTTATCCTATTTACTTACGCACTTCCTCCAAGCACTCAACAAGCATAAATAATCATTGTAGAAATAATTACCATGAATAACATATAAATATTAACATACACATTTCTTCCAACCATGTAACCAGCGTAGATAAGGGTTCTAAAAGTCATTACCATAAATACATTATCCTATTTAACATACACACTTTCTCCAACCACTCAACCAGCATAAATAAGCATTCTAGAGGTCATGACCATAAATGACTTATGCTAATTACGTATACACATCCTCCAATCACTTAAGTAGCATAATAGTTATTCTTCACTCTAATTAGTCCTCAGCATTAGTCCAAAACAAAACAAACTGGGAAGGATCAGTTTCCCCTTTCTCCAATTTATTTAATCACTCAATGGTTTATATATCTAGGCTTTTTAAAAGTTTAAAACCTCTAACTATAATTAAGAATAATTTGAACTTGGAAAAAAACTTAAATCCTTTCAGTATGGTGGAATGAGCAAACCAGGCTTGGAAAATGTAATCCTCACAGGGCAGATTGAAAGTAAGAGGGCCAGAGGAAAGCAACGCGGGACCTAGCTGGTGAGCTTGTGGGAAGGGATGGCAGAGCAGGATTTCGGAGGGATTTGTTTGGTTTTGCTTTACGGTATATCAACCTCAATCTGTTATTAAATACCGATAAGATTTTTATTCTTGGTAATTTTTTTTTAGAAAATGTATTGCTTGTAAAAAATTCCCAAAAAGTATTGCTGGTATTAAAACCTATTTTTATACTTTCATAGCGATTTAAAACCTTTTTGGGAGGATCAACTATTTTCCCATAGCTGGGACCCCGACAAGTGCTACCATCCCGGATCAAGACGGACCTGGGAATACCAGCAAATAAGAGGTGGTTCCACGCTCCTCAAAACCTTCTGATCAAAGGCCTTGCTGTCTGATGTAGTTTATCGTCATACCCAGGACAGTTTGGGAGAGATGTCAAAATTTATTCAGAGCTACAAATGATAGGATGTTGTGGAGAGCTATTAGAAGCAAAACCCCGAAGGAACACATCACATAGTAGAAATATAAAAAAAAAAAAAAACAGAAAAAGAACATGACCTTTGAACTTGAATGTTGATTTGGATGTACAGCAGATTCAGGTTGGATCATAAATATCTTCCATTTGTGACCTGTGTAACATTCTAACCGTAAATATGTCATAATAGGTGGTGAAAAATGGATTGCAAACAACAAAGCACAATGCAAAAGGAGGGGAGGGATAAAGATAAAGACCAAAGCGACTTACTATCACTCACTCAATACAAGGCCCAAGTGACAATCAAGTTAGAGCCTTACTGATAGACGTTGTTGGATGGATGTAAGCGGAGGAGGTAAGAAGCGTAGATTATGACGATATATAGGAAAGATAACGGTTGACCCTAGACTAAGAGGTTAAGATTCTATCGGTCGGAGAAGTATCCCCTCGGGAGTTTGAATAAGATTAATGTATGAACGTAAGAGGAGGGGGTAAGAAGCGTAGATTATGACGATATCTAGGAAAGATAACGGTTGACCCTAGGTTTGAAGAGGTTAAGATTCTAGCGATCGGGGAAGCATCCCCTCGGGAGTTTGAATGAGATTGATGTATGAACGTAAGAGGAGGGGGTTAAGAAGCGTAGATTATGACGATATCTAGGAAAGATAA